AGTAGTTCCACTTTTAACGAAAGTGAGTGGAATTTTACTCACTTTAGAGTAAATTTGAACGAGCGTGTATGTCAATCAGTGTTGTAAACATTGTTATTGTTATTATTGTTATTGCTCAGTTCACACCCTGGCAGGCTACTGCCTACCGATCTGCACTTAAGCCAGGCATGAACCTACACTGAGGCAAATAGACTTAAAAATTTCATAAGACTCGACTTATGAACGACAAATATGAATTTCATAAGCGCGACTTATGAAAGATTTTCATATAACATAACGTGGCTCTTATACGCCTTTAGCCATTCCATTCTCTTAAGCGTTGAAAGACGAGTGGTCAACACACGAACTCCGTAATCTCAACGTCCATGGTTCGGTTCCAGTCTGCTCCGATTTATTATTTTTTTTGTCAACATTTTTTTTCATAAGGCAAATCAATGAAATTCATACTGATTTCTTGTGGCTAAAATTCGTAAGTGTTTCTTATGAAATTCTTACGTTCTTTTGCCTGCGTGTACGGAAATTTAGTCGTGGCCTATGCTACACTGAACTAAAACATCCGCAATACTTCGAATGATTATTGCATTGCTCGAGCCCTTTAACAATATGCATTCGAATTTCGGATAATTTTCTTATGGTTGAATTCGTCGTCAGATGATGAACATCCATATGACTGTCATTCAAATACAGGATGATTTTCGTTTGAAAATTAGCTATAAAACATACGGCACTCAGAGGACAAACATTTAAGAATAGATAATTTGATTATCTACAATTCCATACTGAATAGCCATAATAAGCCATTCCATTATGGATACAAAAAAATTTCGTGGTGGGGAAAACCTCCGCCACCACGAATTAGCCAAACATTGGTTTTCATCCTTTACCTATGTTCATAATAGCTCTGAAAGCGATGCATATGCTTCCACCTCGTTTGTCAGCTCAGATCAGCAAATGACGTTCGATAGAATTATTTACATCATTGTCTTGAATGATTTGCGTTATGGGGCTGAACCAATACCATATGCATTTCCATTTAGTATGACAGTCATTCTGCAGAGAGCATTACGCATTTTAACTGAAGGCCCTATCCCTTCTTATAACAAGTTTCATCCTGTATTCGAGAGGAAAATCATCTGATTTCAAAACAACCGTCATCCGGTTGCAGCTATCATTCGAAAAAGCGATTTCGGTGTTTTGTTTTGAACGGTCTGAGGTTTCATTCGATCAGAGGATGATGTTTGTGTACAGTGTAGACCGTATAGCATAACGACTTTCCTTTCACTAGCAGGCTTTTTGGTCCCACTAGCGTCCGATTACGGGATAGTAAGAGATTAAAAGAATAAAGAAGAGAGATAGAAGATTTTGTTGTTTTGCTGAAAAAAAAAACACGTTGGTTTGTTGTGCAACATCAGGTTTGTTCGCTTTCATTCCGTTCCAAGGGGCAACGTCCATCGTCGTCGTACTCAAATACCTGGGAACATCCAGAGGTGCACAGGGACAACGTGAAAGACTTCCATTCTGGGCAGCTGCTTGACCTGGGCCCAAGTCAAATTCCTATCGGCTTGCTTAATTTACTTGTTGACGCTCCGCCGCCTTAGTATTTGCCTTTGCTGCGATGTTCTGGCGGATTTAATTCATAATCAAACGCTTGCCTGCAGACTTCGTTTCTATTGCTATCGGCTTCTGATGACATTTACATCTGAGATCCATTTGTGAGGCCAGCAGCCACAAGCTATATACCGCAGGCAGCGGTTGATGAGACCTGCAGGTTTAGAGTGTTCTCCACTGGTGCTGCACAGATTCCACGTTTTAATCGAAGTTTCGAATTTTGGTACTTTGACCAATCTGATTTGATCTCCGCTTTTGTGTAAATGTCATATTATCACCGACCTTATTACCATCACCTTAGTGTGTGACATCAGGTGTACGCTCCTCTGTGTTTTCGTTACCAATGCAGTTTATTTGACAAGTTTGTTGCATTCCCGTATGTCTCAATATTATTCTTGCTCTGAACCACCGTCAACCCACTATCCAGAGGCAACGAGCCATCTTAACACCTGAAATTATACAAAAACAAATCAAACATTAGCACCAACCCCCCCTTCCTCGATTGCAACAACTCCAAGCCATGCAACAGGATCATTTCGTGCCCCATGACAACTTGATCCAGTTGCTTCCAGGTTCATTGTTTTGGCGCCAGCCGGGAGAAACTTGGTCCTGTACCAAATGCTTTCCTTGTCTCCATTCCGCTCAGCTACTCGCAATTGATTGTGATATTATAGTGGGCGGAATATTACAATGTGAGACAATTCAATGCAGACGTCTTCCAAATTTGGCCGATCGTCAGGTTACCACCTGGCACCTCTTAGCAAGCACTATGCTACGAAGCGGACCGGAAGTTTCAATGAACAACCTCCCTCAGAAGCAAAAGTGTTGTAAACATTGCTGAAAAAGCTACATAATGACGATGTCACGGCAGCACAACATTCCATACTGCGAATGGCAGACGTGTCGTCACAGAAAACAGCTGTTTCGTGTAAAAAGATAAACATTGCTATGAAATAAGAAAACCACTAAACATTTCCACATTTCACTAATACCAATAAGCCGGTTGGGCCAGACCTTGTATAATTGACATCGATCCTGGCCTTCATCGCAAGGAATCGATTCTAATTGAAAGGATGAGAGCAAGAAGACCCTCTAAAGGCACGCCCTTTGTCAGTCAAAATTTGATTCTTCAGCAACAAAATTAAGCAATGAGACCAATAATGACCATGCATCAGAATCCTAGTCATAACCACTTCAAACTACGGAACAACGAATAGAAGATTAGGAATCACATATGAAGACTCGGTGGACAAAGGCGAGTCTTGTCAATGTCAACAAGGCATAAAAAGTACCAAGGACTAAGACGTGTTCCTTTGATTACTCAAAAATCCTGTTCCCCTAGTTTGAAGTAGTCAGGACAAGGAATCGATGATAGATCTTACATCCCGTACTTCTTCTTCTTCCTCGCATTTCAGCTTATTGCGTTTGGCATATTAGCTAATTGCGTGCTCACAACTTAATATTCTAAGATGCACTTCTACAGTTATTAATTGAGAGCTTTCGATGCCTATACCATTTTTGCATTAGTATAATTGTTTGGCAAGTATAATCATACTCTATGGCCAGGGAAGTCGAGAAATTTTCCAACCCGAAAAATTCTTAGGCCGGACCGGGAATCGAACCCAGCCACCTCCAGCATGGTCTTGCTTTCTAGCTGAGTCTTTACCGACTGAGCTAAGGGAGGCCCCATACTGTAACGAACCACGAAAAGGTGTTCTACCCACGTTACGGGGCTATGTCGCTCTTGGTCCCGCCGTCTTACGCGCAGGAAGAGAGGAGCGTTCGGCTAGGTCGGTGAGCTTACTCTGCATATCAGAACGCTGTTGTGCTAATAGCGAAACATCATCAGCCAATTCGAAGTAGTTGAGGTACCTATCACTAAGGCTACCAAAGCAGCACACGGTCAATTGCACCTACTGTGATCTTGTCGATTACAATGAAGAACAGTAGCGGTAATAGTATACATCCTTGTCTCACATCTGCCACTAGTCGGGTAGGGTTGGACAAGGCTCCGTTATGCAGGACTCTACATGTGAAAGTCTCGTACCGCGGTTCGATGAGGTTGACGATAATATCCGGAGTTTCCGTCTCAGGACGTCGCACAGATTATCGTGATTGAGTCGGTCGAAAACTTTTTCTTAGGGACCTAGACTAAGACGCATCCAGTCGGTCGGAAAAATCGCAGTGTTCCAAATATGCCAATATGCGATCGACCCCGGGAGCCTTGTTGGATTTCATACTTCGGATAGCTGCTTCAATCGCCTGCAGTGATGGGGCATCGGAGTTGACGCGAGTGATGCTCCGTACCCTTGGTGGTTGGACGTCGAAACTTGAAGAAGTTGTTCGAAGTGCTCAAACCAACATTTCAGCTGGTCAGTGGGGTCGGTAAGTAACTCCGGTGTGATTTGAGATTTGGGCGTAATTGTTTTTGTAAACAAACCCGTCAATCGCCGATATCTCGCGAATGAAAGCTCAATCAATAACGCCAGATTGAATATGCGTACTACAAAATACGGTTGGTTTCGAGTTGCCGATAATAGAACAGCCGGTTAACACGTAAATCAAATGGAAAGGTTTTCGAAGAAGAGATGGCCTGCAATAGTCACACTCATTTCAGAAGAGAAAATACTATTAGAAGCCTGGACGATGCTTAGATTGATGAGGATACGTTAAGTTCCCTAGTTGTTTATACTTACTTCCCTTGTTAGTTGGCGATTGTCTACGGTCCATACAAATTTCCAAAAATGTGTATACATGATTGTCTACACTGAGGCGAAAAAATTAAAAAAATCAATAAGGGGCTGTTCATAAACTACGTAGACAGTTTAGGTGGGGGGGGGCTGCAATTATCCACGGCCCATACAAATTTTAAATTTTTTGTATGGACAATTGTCTACGCAGGGGGACCCCCCCCCCTCCTGCACTTGGATTCATAAGGACCCCCCCCCCCGGTCCTTATGAATGATTATCGTGATACATACATACTACGAATGGTTCTTATAGATATTTAACCTATTCTATTTCCCAAGCGTTGATAGATGTGGGAACAAATCACGGAGTCAATAATCTGAACGCTCAGGATTCGATTCCGGTCTGCTACATTTTATATTATGTTTTAAAGTTTCATAAGCTAACTTATGAATTCTGTTTCATAAACCAAACTTATGATTTCCATAAGAAATCCTTTTGTCGAAATTTCATAAGTGGTTCTTATGGAATTCTAACGTTCCTTTCCGTTCCGTTTTGCCTCACTGTATGGAATCCACAAGTATCTTATGAAATCAAAATTGTCCAAGTTCATAAGTCATGTCTTATGGAATTTATGAGATATTTTCGCCTCAGTATAACAACAAAGCATTCTTTCTTATTCTACAGAAAGAAAAAACGGGAAATTCAATCGGATCAAAACTCCCACTATCTATAATCTATCATACAACAATCAACGTTCACTTACCTTCCTCCTCATCAACCTTACTGGGCTTCAACGCATCCGCTCCGACGTACCGCTTAATTTTCCCGATCTGCACCTCATCCAGCGTCATCGAACTGTGGATGTGCCGCCCGAACTCGGCACTCTCCGGGAACCCATTCTCCACGCAGTACTGCAGGCAAGTTATCGCCAAGCTCGGCTTCTTTTCTTCGATGGACAGCTGTATGAATGCCCTCAGGGCCATCACCTTCGGATCGCCGACGATCGAGTTTTGATCGTTGTTGATCTTTTCGAACAGAGTTTGCGCCTTTTCATAGTCCTTTCCGCGGCAACAGATCGTTAGGACATCCCCCAGGAGGGCTCCGGAGAAACCGGTTCGCTGATTACGATTGCTACCCGCGGCGATCAGTTCCTCCAGTCGTTTGTACATGTCCCATGCAATGGTCGTAAATTTTTCTACCAGCTCAGGGTTTTCTGGTTGATTTGTGATCATGATTTGAAGGATCATATTAAGCAGGTTTTCACGCCCGGTGTGATCGAATTGAATCATGTGCGACCACATTTGAGGAAGATAGTCCACGGCACAGTTTACGTCGATACACTTGAGGATGTCCTCCATTACGGATGGCTCCGGAATGTACACATTCGGAACGAGCATGTTGTAGGTTTCCATGAACGTTTCCAGCGGCTCGGTGTTGCACAGAACTGTGAAGAATTGACGATAGTAGATTGATTCCTTGTACGAATCTCCTATCAGGTTGTAGTTATCCTTGAAATGAAGTAAATTATTTACTCGTTTGGCTAAATCCTTATCGTGCAGATGATAGCGACAAACATCCATGGCAGTCACGAAAAAGAAGGTATCCTTAGGATCTTGAATGTGAAATTCTTTGTTCTCTATTTCGTTCATGATGTCGTGTAGAATATGGCTGGTTGGGCCACGCTCACGACAGAAGATGGCCAACATGTAGTACCAACTGGCCAGTGATGGTTCAATACCGAGCTTCTTGAACTCCGATAGCGTCTTCAAGGCATAAGTTCTCGGGTGGTTGTATCCTCCAATAGTCGTAATAGTCTGCAGAACCGCATTCAACGTTCCAATGTTGGGCATTAGACCTTGATTTTTCATCGCGGTCAGAACTTCACAAACCAAATCCCAGCGCATTTCGTAGCTTTCCTTCAGGAATGAAGCAATTTGAAGCAAACTGTTGAAAGTGTTCGTGTCCAAAAGAATGCCTTTTTCGATCGTCTCCTGATACAGAGCCCATGCTTTTTCCACCTATAAATTTGGATAAAATTTACAAGGTAAAACCACCCTTTGAAAAACTCATTCCCACCTGGAAATATTTCGCCATTCCACGAATCAGAGCACAGTAGTGCTCCGGTTTTTTGTCCTCAATTTCGTGAAAAATCTGCTCGGCCAACTCGAAGTCTTTCCACGTTTTTCTCTGACGACCCTTCTCCGTTACACCTTGCCGGAACCAACGTTCCTCGATGTACTCCTCGGCCAGCGAATCTTCGTGGTTGAAGAAGCACAGCAGTTCCATCAGGGATTGTTTCAGCTCTTCACTCACCACTATGTTATTCTTCTTCAACAAATTGTACACCAGAACCGCATCCTTCACGTCGACATTTCCGATCAGTTTTTCCAGATCGGTCGCTTCCACCTGGCTCTCTTCGTTGTAAATCATCGTAGGAACGAACATCGGCACGGGTGGAGCAGCTTCCTTGTGCTGAAATCGAAAAAAAAAACAATCTCAATAATTAAAATAAAACAAAAATTTAAAAAAAAATCCTACCTGAAACAACTTTGCATTCTCCTGCCGGATCCAGTGAGCCGCTTTCCGGCCGGCTTCCTGTGCCATCGCGTACGTTTTCTTGGCGATGTTGGACGTCGGAATCAGGTACGGATCATCGTGATACTTGTAGTGGGCTGCAGTTGGGTCGAACCCTACCGTGCTGGACAGAGCATTCAGAATGTCCGTGGGGCTACGTTCGATCCGTCGCGGAAGGGCAATTTTCTCTGGTGCGGATGAGGCGGTAATCGTGCTGCTACGACTACTATGCAACAGTGTCTATGTTGAGATACACAGGGATAAGTGAAATGTTTTGAAGAAATGTATTTAGATGCATTTCCGTTAAGGGTTCAATAAAATAAAATGCATTCGAATTTTGGCAATCTTTTTGGGTAATCTGAGCCCCGTCTCCAGCTCAAAGATTATGTTAATTTTTGATACAAATCACACAACTCACCGAAGTAATCCGAAAAGCAGGGTGCGGATGCAACTTGCTAAACGATTTGCATAAATGATTCATGGTTTTCACTTAAAAAACCGGAGGATTTTTCGGGAAAATGGATTAATTTTTACTGGGTTACAAAACAGTGCATGTTTTTTTCCTCCGATGCGGTGTGGTTATGTCACTGCTGTCATGAAACGAATAATCAAAACAAACTGCGGGTGGTGCTGAATTACTGCGCCGCCGCCGCAGCTGGAATAGGGTGGCCATATCTGGTTGGTTGGCAGCTTCAGATATAGGTGTCGCTAATCGATTGATGTTTTATTAAATTGATTTATTTGCACAATTTATTGATCAATAAATTAACGTGAAGATAGCCACGAGATTGATTAATTTAATGTCGTTTTCGTATTTACGGTGTGTAGCTACGCCGGTGCTTCACCACCGTATGTCGAAATAAGATATTTGAAGCACAGACAGACATATACATAACACAATTTATTATTTCTCAATGTAAAACTTCGTCACTACCGCCATTTATTGAGTGAGATCTGTTGTGGTGGGCAGTACGCTGATTAGATTGAAGCACAGACAAACAGACATAATACTCAAAATCACATTCTTTGCAAATAAGGTTTCTCTTAAGAATCGCGGGATATCAAGAGAGTGAACCCGCATAAACGCGAACCATAAATTGACCTTACCTAAAATGGTTAAAAATTGTTTATAATCCCTGCTAAACTTTAACAGAAATGGTTATGGAACTTTACATGAACGTTTAATGATAAAGTTTCAACCTTATGTATTATGGTTTTTTGGAACTGGACCTTACAAATAATGGGTTGTTAAGAACCATTACCGTTCCAAATTCTTGTTTTCTCCATACATTTTCGGAAAGAGAACTATATTAGAACCTTTTAACTTATGGTTTGAGAACTTTAATGGTAATGGTTATGGTAGTCAGTAAGGTCCACAAATGGTTTTGTAACATCGATCAACTTTATGTGGAATATATCGCGAATTGGTTGCCTGTAATTTACTGATCACCAATTCACGATATATTCCACGTAAAGTTGAGCGATAATACAAAACCATTAATGGACCTTACTGACTACCATAACCATTACCATTAATGTTCTCAAATCATAAGTAAAAACGTTCTTATATAGTTCTCTTTCTGAAAATGTATGGAGAAAACAAGAATTTTGAATGGTAATGGTTCTTAACAACCCATTATTTGTAAGGTCCAGTTCCAAAAAACCATAATACATAAGGTTGAAACTTTATCATTAAACGTTCATGTAAAGTTCCAAAACCATTTCAGTTAAAGTTTAGCAGGGATTATAAACAATTTTTAACCATTTTAGGTAAGGTCAATTTATGGTTCACGTTTATGCGGGAAGCACTCTTCATATCATTTTACAAGCAACTTTTCCTTTAATTATTGTTTTTATTATCTCTTCCTTATCAAATAGGGGAAACGCTCCTATATTGGCCATGCTCCTATTTTGGCCATGTTTTAGAGATATTTAACGTTTGATACAAGTTTGAAGTCATGAGGTCTGTTAAGATTATTGATTTAAATCATATTCATCGGGGTACACACACACAAAGAACAAAAATTGTTGCAATAAAAATAATGCATTTTCAAATTAAAAGTTTCGCAAATTTCGTAGTTTCAACTACGAAAATATTCAAATGAAAAGTTATTGTTTTGTTTTGAAAGTGTTTCTTTTACTCTCGACTCGTTATTTTAAAAGCGCATTCTTTTAAAATAAAAGTTGATCAACTTTCAAAAATACCTTTTCATAGCGATGTTTTTGGCAACACTTGACCTCCATTTGGCGCTAAATTTGAGTTGACGTCGATTGATGGAGGAATGGTTTTGGCTGGCTTCCATAGGAGTTTTTTTAGTATGGTAATTGATTCAACGGTAAGTTTAATAAACTACGAAACCATAATTGATGATGATGAATCTATTTATGAAACGTAACCAATAATTTCATCTCCACAGATCAACGTATTTAACTCGGTATTCAAGGCGCTTAGTGAAGAGCTCCATTCTGATCTTGAATTTGCTCATCTTCCGTGGGAATAATCTGACAACCATCTACTAAATCTATAAGCTGCATACAGGTATAGCTCCAATCACTCATAATTGCTAATTGTACCATTCTCAAGACTTGTAGATTTACAAGAAATAACTAAAGGTTTCCAATATTGATTTGTATCTTTCTCATTTGCAGTCTAAATACCCGGAACAGGTACCAGTTGCAGGATGAAGCATCCCATCAGCTGCAGTGGAAAAATCATCGGAGAACTTCGAGCCCACAGCAGCGACGTCTTCGGAAACCGGGTAGCATAACATGAATAACATATTTATAGAATATAGTATATACTATTAAATATTATCAAGAAATTAAAAATAATATAAATAATTAAAAAAAATATTATATTGAAAATGCTTGTTTTTAAATCGACAACATTTATTTTTCCTATTCAAAGTGGCACATTTTATTTACACTATATTAAACTTTCATGTCAAAAGCTTGTTTGAAACACGCTGTTGATTTAAAAACTGCCATGCTTTCAATTTGACAGTCCTACAACTCGATTTGAAAGTTTCAACTTTTGAAAGTAGGGAGTGGGCAACTTTTGAATTGACAGTTAGATTACGTTCATTTTGAAAGCTAGCCGCTTTCTACCAAAAAGAACCAATGCAAACTTTTAATTTCACTAATGGTTTTTTTTAATTTTAATAATGATTATTTTTTGTGTGCATGCCCATGCATCGCCCACAAATCGCATTTTTTTTCTGAGGTATGGCCTAAATAGGAACTTATGACCACAGACAAACAGACATAACACATTGAATATTTTTCACTGTAAAACATCGTCGCTAAATCATTACCGCCATCTGTTAAGTACCCCTTGGGTGGGCACTACGCTGAACAGACGGCGGTAGTGTGTTAACGTCAAACGCAAGGGAATTGACAAGATATCGCACCCATTCACAACACACATGGGCCGGGACCAACGGCTTTACTTCCCTTCCGAAGGAAGACGTGACCAGAGATTTTTATGCCTCAGAAAAATCCCACCGAACTCGGTTGAGATTGAACCCAGACCCATTGGGGTGTTAGAAGTAACACTTACCACTACACCACTGGCGCCGGCTTAAATTGGAACAAATGTGGACCACATAATAGCTATTATCGTTGATCATCAGTTTCTAATGTGCTATTCAAGGTTGCAAAACTCATTTCAGCTAAAATAATGTTTTTCGGAATAATAAAACCAAAAGATGGTATGATGGCATGTTTTACTTGTAACTTACAAGAAGAGGTTACAAAGTATGCGTTGGAAACATAAAACCTGTAAATTTTGCTTTCTATGAGTCACAATCAGCGATTTGCTGATCGCTGAGTGAGTGAGTGAGTTTGTGAAAAATCGCTGATTGTGACTCTCATGAAGTGAAATAAACAGGTTTAATATGAGCGGAGACGAGCCAGCCAACGGCTGAAAGTCTCCTTAATAAAGATATAAAAAAAAGGTTTAATATGTCAAACACATTCTTTGCAACCTCTTCTTGTATCCTACCAATTCAAAATTTGATCATGGCATCTAATTATTTCATAATTTAGAAAAACATTGTTTTAGCTGAAATGAGTCTTTGCCACCTTGGTGCTATTTATTATGTTATCAAGTTTTTGATCTGATAAGTTTTATTTTTATTAACCTACCTCGCTATATACCACCTACAAGTTGGTGCAGTAGTGTGCGCCGATTAAACGTCAGAATACTCTATAGATCTGTTGAACTTGGTCTTTCTCGACCATTTTGAAAATCATCATAATGATATCAGGCATAACATTTGATAACGGCACAAAAGCATTTGTAAACAAACTTTCTAAGGCCCTTTACAAGCGAAACAAAGTACGCTCACGCAAACCAATACCACTTTCGTAAAGTTGATAGTTGCCCCTATCCGATGATGTTGTTTGTTTGTGTGAGCGTAAAGGGTCGCGTGTAAAGGGCCTTAGAAAGTTTGTTTACAAATGCTTTTGTGCCGTTATCAAATGTTATGCCTGATATATAGAAATAGTGAAAGGTTAGTCATTTTGCACCATGCCTATAGGCTGTGAATCATTTGCCGAGTTAAATTTAACCCTTGAACCACAGTGACATTTCGAAAGTTATTTCTTATGTTCGAAAATTCCTGTATTTCTGATCGATCGGTTTTCGAGCAGAACTCAGCCACGGTTGTCAAAATTTAACTTCTTGTCTGTCAGAAATAACCACGCTTGGATAGTAGGTTAATCGATAACTTTCCATCTGTCAAATTTTAACCAAAAGTTAAAAAATCCGCCAAATGGTGTCCTCAGGGGTAAAGTGTGTTAACTTTCTATTATAGAGTAATTATTGACGAATAATTTGAGGTTTGTGTCTACAGATTCCAAATACAATATTTATGAGTATTCCAAACTAAAGAGCCTGAATTTATAAAGAGACGACATCTTATCCATTTGACAGGTCTTCTGCTCGATTGGAATGACTTTTCCTATGACTTTGACAGATAATCGATTGTTCCAACTTTGACATGTCGTCTCTTTATAAATTCAGGCTCTTTATTCCAAACCATACCTGAGTGGAATTTTAAGAGAATTCTGATAAGAATTCCACGTAAATTCCGAGAAAAGCTTCAACTGAATTCTATGCATAATGCCAAATGATATGTGCAAAGGATATCAAATTCAAAGTGTCAATGTAATTTCAATGATAATTCCGTGAACATTCCGTGAAAGATTTCTACATTATTGAGAGAAAATTCCTCGTAAATTCTAGGATGATGTCAGGCAAATTCAATAAGAAAACATCAACATGATTTTATAAAAAACTGCAAAACGTTTCTTTAGTGAAATGGCTGCAAATTCCAAGGAGAATCCAAGTGAAATGTAATTATGATAGGGAACTACAACGGATTCTTGAAAGAAAAATTTAAAATTCGAACAGAATCTGTGAGAAAACTTGTGATGAATTTGTTGGAGTGTTCCGCAGAAAATTTCTGGATTGTTTTGATGAAAATTTCAAGCAAATAGCACATAGAATTTCAAATTTATGCAAGGAGAATTTTGAAAAGATCTCAGACAAGGGGTATAATTCTAATGAAATTCTTAAGAACATTCCAAAGACATATTGTAAAGAGTTCTGAGACAATTCAGTGCCAACATTTCAAAGGGGCGTAATTGCTTTTGTAAACAATGGTTTTAGCCGTCGATTTCTCGCAAATAAATTCCACCCTGCCAAATTACCAATACTAGCTGGTACAGGAAACATTTATCTACCTGCTGGTGTCATTCATTTTTATGAGTGAGCTTTCATTCGCGAGAAATCGACGACTAAAACCATTGTTTACAAATGCAATTACGCCCCTTTGAAAAGTTGGCACTGAATTATCAAGGTAATTGAGACATATGAGAAGTATGCTAGGTATGGCACTGTACCGTTTCCCAAAATCATGTTTATAATAAAGAGCGTCTAAAGGGTGTCCCGCATCAAATTGCATCACGGAAAAACGCGTAAGAAAATTACCTAGTTGACCGATCCTTTTCAAACTTTCAGACAGTAAAACATAACCCATGAGCTCAGAAAAACAGATATAACACATTGAATATTTCTCACTGTAAAACATCGTCGCTAAAACATTACCGCCATCTGTTGAGTACACTGTGGTGGGTAGTACGCTGAACAGATGGCGGTAGTGTGTAAACGTCAAATGCAAGGGAAATGACTATGCACGCCACAGGTGGTGGTACTACCAAATACAAAACTTTTAACCGTTTAATGATTGTTCGATGAACAACTAGCGAGTGTTATGTCTGTTTGTCTGTGCCATAAGTAATCTTATTTATTTCATTCAACTTCAATACCATAATCTTACGCTTAACTCCACTCATTAGGTTCTGTACAACATCTTGCTGCAGCTTCTTCTGTACGGAAACATACTTTTTCTTCATGTCTTCCTCAGATTTTACCTCCTTGGGATGCTTCCGTAGTGCCTGCTTCATAATAGCTCATTATTTTTCGATGGGCCTTAGTTTCGGTGCGTTGAAGGGGGTGGGGGGGGGGGAGGTTCATGTTCTTGGGTATGAAAGTGACCCCGTTGGATTCGAATCATCCATGATGAGACAGTGAGGCTTCTGGGTGTGCAATTTGAATTTTCGCTCCACAGTGCTTAAACGGTTCCAAATTCGGTCCTGCTTAGCCTCCCAAAATTTGAACTACTTTAGTAAGAAACATTTCAAATTTATATGGGAATTCCTATGGGAAAACTTATGTTTTTGTTCATATCTATCTAACAATTCATCACATCACCTTGCTTTTAAAACCACTTTTCAATCAAATGTAAGGAACAAAAGTTATTAATGATTCAAGTCACTGATGTCTTATGATTATGCTCATTCAACTGTTCAGCAGGAAACATTGGTGTTTCTGGTGCGAATAATAGAGGACAAATATCATGGCTACTATGTCACACTGCAGAATCCAGTGTTGCCCACAAAACAGCTGCTTGATCATGCCATAAGATTATCAATCTCTTAAACAATTAATAACAATTTAATTTGACATTTGGCTGAAAAACGGTGTTCCGCAAAGTTGTAGCTTAGAAAATTTTCCGTAAGAAAAGTTATAGAAATTTTCGAAAAAGCAATATCGAAAATGGGTAGAAGACAATGAACAAAAAGTTTGCATCAGTCTAGTGTGCAGTTTCCGGGCCCGTGACTTTCCCACCGTATGTTGCCGTTCGTCACGATTTGGAGCCTTGTGCACTTTGTACGTATGCAGTCCCTCCCGGTCCTTGGCTCTCTGAACGAAAGACTTGGACAGATTCAACTTTTTTACCACATCCCTGACCGAAGCATTGGGATTCCGCTTTAACGCTTTCATGACACGCTTTTGATCTTGATCACTAATAGAACATTCATTCTGTATGCATTTCTCCTTCCGTTCGATGCTCACAGTTTCATAGTAACGTTTAATCACACGACTCACCGTTGACAGCACGATTCCGAGTTGTTTTCTGATGTCCCCATGAGAGAGTTGAGGATTTTCTTGGTGCTTGCGTAAAATCAATTCGCGACGTTGAATTTCGGGTGACGCCATTTTTTCAACTTTCAAAAAACTGACAGTGGTAAAAATACAGTGTAAATAATACACTCTAAACTCCTTCTACCCAAATGTTCAAGAGAAAATACCCAATGGATAATTTTCTACAGTGTTTTTTCCGTGATTCAATTTGATGTGGGACACCCTTTAGTATAAGAGAGGAGCAGACTGACTGGTTTTGAACTAAATGAACTGTCAATCTTGATTGCATTGGCAGTGTTGCTAGAAATAGTCTAGCTATAGTTAGCCGAGGCAGTTTGTTTTGAATCCACTTTTCTTTTATACTAGTTAAGTTTCCAAAAAGGTTTTTCATATTTTTCAACATATGCGGCATTGAGACTTCCTGCGGAAGAAATTTTAATTTTAACATATAACAACACTTCCTCTAGACAAAGCATCAAGTCTGGTAAGACATTTGCTAGCAACAATTTTCAGTCATCGTCATCGTGTACAAACGGTTAAGGGGAAAGGGGACGTCATTATTTTTTGGAAATTCAAAAGCAGTTTTTTCGTTTAAAACCGATATCCTGTCATTGAAAATGTGTTCACAATGATCTGGTAGGAACACTTAGAATGCAATGCACACATTTTCATGACCATAATTTTGATTTTGTACGAAAAACTGTTTTTGGAATTTTGAAAATTAATGACGCCCCGAGTGACGCCCCCCTGCACCTTAAAATCAGAGTAGGTTTTCTTCCTGATAAATCCTTCCACAGACTAGTATTGTGATTGTTTGGCTATCTCATTCAAGATGATTGCACTGTAAATGAAGATGTCAACAAGGCAGTTCATTTTTAGTTCTAACGAAGATGTATATCAACATTTTGCAGTCCAGAACCAGAAAAATATTTGCTCGTAGTCACGTAAGATGATTTGCAGAAATTTTAAAAGCGCTGAAGTTAACTTTGAACCAGACTGAATCAAAATAATATATTAATTTAAATTTCAGGGAAAATCGAAATTTTATCCCGGTGAGCGTTTTATTTTTCGGGTTTTCAAGGCGGAGAAAACCAGATATACCGCGCAGCAATCAAATTTCTGAAAGTTCCTGCTAATTTTCCATTTAGCATCACACTACCAGTGACGTTGTAACTTGTGAGCTCGAATTCAAATTACTCTAGCGTGCGATCTCCGAAAATGTGTAGGCAAACAGCGGAATGATGTTAAAAACTGTTTACTTAGCCCAACGTCACGAATGGTGTTCGTAATGCTAAAATTTAACGATGGCGGTCAACGGACCAGTTTGTAGGTCGTGGATCTGTTTTGTTATCACTGAACATATTAGCTTGGAATCTAATTGATTAGGCCAACCAACGAGACAAAAATAAACTTCTCCAGTTATTTTTAGCCTGGTCGTTGCCAATGTGGAAAAATTTAATATCCGCTTAAGGCATACGCTTTGTTTTCAAAGCTAGCAGCAAAGAGTTTCCATGTTATGACTTTAAAAATAGGTTTTGATTCCAAGTGACTGAATGAGGTCCAATCGAGTATCGCAAACTTCACGGGTGGGCGTTAATTGAAATATTCGATTTACTATCACTGCGAAGAAGGTTTCCTTTTTAAAGCCACAGCCGAGAGGAGTCAGTTAATCTGCGAATCGAGAAAAGATAAGACGCCTTAAGTTTGATTCCGCCAGAGACAGTCTAAAAAATTCGAAAGTTTTTAAATAATTGCAGAAAATGTCGGAAATTGAGGTAATTTGAATTACTGTTCCCCTGTTTCAACGTTGTTTTACAGATTCTCGCAATCTTTCAGGTTTTCAACGATTCTATCCAGTTTGTGTGCGATTTGTGCTCGCTGAGGTATTCTACGTTTGAGATCTTGATGACTCACAATCGGATCAAACACTACCACTCGATACGGTTTCGGTGCGGGTTGTGCAACGAGGCTTTCATGAACGAGGATGACCTGCACTGCCATTTTATCCTGACGCATCGGGTGGACCCATACGACCTGGAATGCAATCAGATGATTCAAAACAAGAAGGCTCTACAGGAAATGGTGTTATCGGACGACGAACGGAAAAGAATTATGTCCCGCTGTGATACTCAAGATGCATTCGGTGATGATGGTGATGACGATGATGACGATGAGGGTGGACTGACGTTTGGCCATCCGTGTAGTCACGACTCGGATTATGATGATGATGATGAACTGGAACTTAACTACAATGAACTGTTCAAGAAGCGGAAACAGAGCGCTATGACTCAAGAAGAGATCATGGAACTGGCAGATGTGTTTAAAAAACCGTCCGAGGCCATTTGTATCTCCAAATTGCATTTCTAGACCAGTGCTGGTGGACCACACAGAGGAAGATGGATATCATGAAAAAAGGTGTTAATTTTTCGATCTGTTTCGATTCGCAGTTTTTGCAACATGTGTGCATGCATACCGCTCTACTTCCCCTCAGTGTGCTATGATAGGTACTGTTAAGGCTGACGTCAATCCTTCGAGTTTAAGTGTTAATTTAATCAATAAACATGTTTATCGGATTTTTCATATTGAAAATAAAAAAAAAAAAAAACATGTTGCTGCCCGTTTGAGAAAATACCATTTAGTACTGTTGCTTCAGGGTTGTCTGTTACGTCGTTAAAACGAGTGTACACTGAAGCAAATAAATTTAACAGTTTCATAGGCCCCACTTAAAAACGACACATATGAATTTCATAAGTGTCTTCGTCTTACATGAAATAGCTCTTAAACGCCTTCAACCATATATTTTTCCCAAGCGTTACAAGATTAGTGATAACATTATTTTTCATAAGGCAAATCAATGAAAATTATACCGATTTCTTGTGGCTAAAATTCATAAGTGGTTATTATGGAATTATTACGTTATTTTGCCTCAGTGTATATTTATAAAACGCAAAATTGAGAATGAGTGCAACAACAAAATCAATAAGAATACACCAAACTTTGAGAAATGTAGGATTATCTTACGGGTTCGTATAAAACGCATTTATTTTAAACAAAACCTTAAGAGAATGTTGCACTCCTGTAATATGGTCATTGAGAAACTTTAAATTTATAAATTTAATAAAATTTATTTTATATGACCTAAATTGAATTACACCAATTAACCGATAGAATCCGCTTTTGTTTCACACTTCGTTTTGTTTTCACCATCTCGGCAATTTTTTGTCGAGATTTGCACAGCTGAGTGCGCGGCAATACATGTTACTAGAATCTCAGCAAATATGACGTTTGTTTGTTGAGATTCAGCAAAACATATTCCGTGACTTAGCAACCACATGCCACGCCAGATGTCCGCAAAATATGTTTTCCGGGAACTCGGCTGTGCAAATATACGCAAAATTGTTTGTGCTCGGTTACTCAAGAACTACGGCACACTTCTCTGCTATATGCAGTCGATTTATGTGTTTCTGCAAATGTCTAGTATAAGAATTTAATTCGTTTGTCTTTCGTATCTCTTTATTGGTTTTTGTTTGAGTCTCATCGTCGCCCACTGGTCACCATAGCCGGTCGAACTCCAGACGAATCTAGATCCACACTACCGATCATACTGGCGACAACGCTCTGATGAGACAACGAAACCCTACCCCCAAGCTCCTCCCCTTTTCCTATCCTTCGACAATGTACCCCTCTAACCTCGGGTAAGCCGCGAGTATTCGGCCCAACTCCTACTAGACATAGAATTAAGTGAATTTTGTTACAAACAAAGAACATTGAATTATCGGCTCCGTAAAGCTAAAGACCCAAACGCAATGTGGACGGAAGCGGAACGGACACGGAAAGTTTGACAGTTGTCACAAATGCCATCAAGAAGCCTAACCGATGTCGATTTGGTTTTAACTAGTTTTCAATCCGACAAGTAGGCTTACTCAGATCGGGCTTCTCCGCTTCCGCTGTCATTGCGCTTGGGCCTTACAAATAAACGAACTAGATAAAAAACTACGGCACTTATTCTTCTTCATCGCATTGCAAGCTTATTGTTTATAGCATATTAGCTTATTGCGTGCGCTCAACTTCAACAGTTATCAATTGAGATCTTTCGATGCCTGTACCATTTTTGCATTAGAGTAAACGCTCCAATAGTTACGGTACGTTAGAAGTGTTAGGTTCCTATAGTTGCGTATGGAGACTCGATACACAACTATATGCATCGTGCTCTCTATTTGCTATTTGCTGAAGGAAGTGTTACTACTACCTAAAGCTACAACAAATTTAAACAGCACTTTTCAGTGCTCAACCTGTAAAAGTTTTTCTACCTTTTTCAACTCTTATTCCTCTTCGATCCTTGTTTGGACCCTATCCGAGGTAATCCTTCTTGGATATCGATTTGGAAAATTCCTCTTCGATCCTTCAGATTCTTATAGAAATCTGCTTGGAAGTCGATTTGGATAAAAATTTACTTCCGCCATGGAGTCTAAACGTAAAAGAAAGGGGCAAACTCTTGATCCCCCTTCTGATGAAATTAATTTGAGTAATCAATTTGATCTGCTCACGGATGATGAGAATGATCCATCATCCAAGAAAAATTCTAGTAAACTTTCCCGGCTTAATGTCAAGAAGGAAAAGATTCCCCCTATTGTGATAACCACTTCCGATTTCCATGCTCTTCGCATGGAACTTTTGAATTTCGTGAAAGTTAAGTTTTCACTACAAATTGGACGTCGGGGTGAATGCCGTGTATTGGCTGAAACCTTGGACGGATTTAAATGTCTTCTCAAGTATCTTACTGAGAAGAAGCACAAATTTTTTACTTACGACACCAAAACTGAACGTGTGTTCCAGATTGTCATGAAAGGACTGCCCAGTGGTGAATCCCTGGATCAGATCAAAGATGAACTGGCCTTAGAAAAAGCTAGCCTTATTCTCCATGTCCGAGTGAAGTGGGAACACTTCAGGAAGACTGGAGGAAATTTCCAAAACCTCACTCAGTGCCGTAAGTGTCAGGGATGGGGTCACGGAACTAAAAATTGCTACATGCCAGCTAAATGCATGAATTGTAGTGATTCCTCTCACGCAAAGGACGACTGTCCTGGGAAGGAAGATCCTAAGAAATTTAAATGTTCAAATTGTGGTGAAAACCACAAATCCAATTTTTGGGAATGTAAGGCTCGCAAAGCGATCCTACAATCTCGTTTTAACCGACAGGTAGGAAACGCTCCACTTTTCCGGTCAGGTACAAATTCCTCTGTAGTTAACAACGGTCAGCGAGGAACAAATTCTGTCAGCTATACAGTGGGGGCGACGTTTATCCCAACGCCGTCACTGCACCGCATCTCTGGTAACTGGAGAGGAACAGAGCGAAAGCAGAACATCATTCTCATACCAATCAGTCTGTAACCGAAACGAATGAATAAAGACGTGTCTAATCGTATACGGTCCCGCGTGTGAAAGTTTTTCTTGTTATATCACGAAACGCATTGTCCGGATTCCGCCCGGTATTCCGTTGCCTGTTGGGTGCCTGAAGTGTCCGCCTGTCCACTCTGTTGTCCATCAGGTTATGGGCCCAGAGATAGTGAAAAAAGAAAAGTATTTTGTGGGACGAAAAGTGCTTTGCGGAAGACATTAGTGCACGAAAAGTTTCGGCGTGGTTTCGGTGGCTCGGTACAGTTCTTTCGGTGGCAGCATTTTGTTCAAGCTGCGGGGCGCACGACTGTAGTAGTGTGCGTGTGCAATTTGGTGCTGAGCTGACTCTGACTCTGGTGGTGCGCGTTTTTTCCTTTGGCGTAGTCGTTGGTGTGTTCCGAAGGCGGGAAGATTTTTTGTTTTCCTAGCGTAACAGGTGGAAAGGGCCTGACGTTTTTCATTCTCGTCGCGTGTGTCGGTCGGAGAAGAAAATGGGTGATAAATTCCTGTTCGCTCGCCTGAACAATCAAAATTTCCCTGTGTGGAAGATGCGCATGGAAATGTACTTGAAGCGCGAAGAACTCTGGAGTGTTATTAAAGACGAAAAGCCAGAGCCGGTCACACCTGAGTGGACAACCAGTGATGAAAAAGCTATGGCGATGATTGTCCTAGCCGTTGAGGACAGCCAGCTAAATTTATTGCGTGGTGTTGATTCGGCAGTGGGCGCGTGGAACAAGTTAAAAGAATTCCACGAAAAGACGTCGATGACGTCACGTGTGTCCTTGCTTCGTCGTATCTGCAGTTTAAATATGAACGAAGGGGACAATATTGAGAAGCACCTGTATGAACTTGAAGAGCTGTTCGATAAGCTGGCGTGCGCCGGCCAGGAGATGGAGATGCCGCTTAAAATCGCCATGATCTACCGTAGCCTACCGGAGTCCTATGGCAGTTTGGTCACCGCCCTCGAAGGGAGACCGGACGCCGACCAGACTATGGAGCTGGTTAAGCAAAAACTGATCGACGAGCATCAGCGTCGATGCGAACGGTCGGGGAGCTCCGGTGAATCGGCGATGAAGATGCACAGCAAGAAGAAAAATGAGAAAGTGTGCTATCGGTGCGGTAAATCGGGACATTTTCAGCGAAATTGTCCACAGCAGCCAAAAGGTGGCCCGGGCGGTAGTGATGTGAAGCGTGATTCGAAAGCTAAGTCCGGTGGTGCGAGGGCCAAACAGGCTGAAGAAAGTGAGTTGGCGATATGTTTTGTGGCTGGAACCAAGTGCAGTGGACCTTGGATCGTTGATAGTGGGTGTTCCAGCCACATGACGAACGATCGGTCATTCTTCAATGAACTGGACACGAGTGTGCGAGTGAAAGTGTTCTTGGCCGACGGGTCAGAGACGATGTCCGGTGGACTCGGAAATGGCACAGTAAAGTGTGTGAATGGAGACAACCGTTTGGTGGATATTCCGTTCAAAGACGTCCTATACGTGCCCTCATTGGACAGTGGACTCATATCGGTGAGAAAACTCGTGAAAAATGGACTGAAAGTGGAATTCTGTGGTTCGCGGTGTGAAATTTTGTCCGCGGGAGGCAAAGTGGTGGCTGTGGCGGAACCCCGCGGCAGTCTGTTCGCGTTGAAGATTGCAGAGGAAGCTCGGCTGGGCAAGGAGGCTCGGCACCTGCAGAATTGCCAGCATACCTGGCACCGTCGGCTAGGTCATCGGGATCCAGCGGCGTTGGATGAGATCCGGAGGAAGGAGCTATCTGAAAACTTCAAGGTTCAGGATTGCGGGATCCGGCAGGTTTGTCAACCTTGCCTAGAAGGTAAATCATGTAGAATTCCATTTCCCAAAATCGCGGTTAATCGTACCCAACGTGTTCTCGACGTCATTCACACTGATGTGTGTGGACCGATGGTAAACGTCACGCCCGGGGGTGCCCGCTATTTAATGACAATCATTGATGATTTTAGTAGATACACTGTCGTGTGTCTGCTGAAGCGGAAGAGCGATGTAACTGATTGCATTAAGAGATTTGTCGCGCACGTCAAGAACATGTTTGGTCGGGCTCCATGTGTTATTAGATCAGATGGCGGGGGTGAGTATACCGG